CGGAGGGAGGTGTTTCCTACAGCCAAACGAGATTTAATGGTGAAACTCTGCCCCCTTCCACCTGCAGGAACAACCTGAACGACTAAACGAAACACTTTCTTCAAAAAGATACTAAGCTCTGCAGAAATACGAAATAACGTAACAATTAGAAAACATTGTAGATTATGCTGAAATATTAGCAGAACTATAATATAAAATATAGAGCAGATAAGGCACCGAATAACAGCATTTTTTTTCATGTATCCACCCTGCTGACGACATAAAAAAGCTGTAACGTAATGTTACAACATGTTTACATTACAACCCAGGAAAATGTAACATGTTGGGTTTTGATAAATGGTCTTCCTTTCTGGATCAATAAATGTTACATTGAGATGAAACAGCCTGTTTAAAAAAAGTCTAAGAGTGTTTGATGCTGTAAAGAGCACGTGGTTTTTCAAGCTGTCCTAACACATATTGGAATTATTTAATTGTTTTTGGGGGTTAATTACTAAATAGGGTAGCCACAAAAAACACAGCTAAAACAACTAACTGAGCATTACTTAAGCTCATTGTTGAAAGTGATTTTTAACATTAGTGTAGATGCTGAGAACAACAGCCTCCACACTGCATGTGATTTAAACACAATTAGCTTCTTTCAGAATGTAAATGAACTGACTCGTCATTTTAAAAACACTCTGAATCTTGTGCTGACATATGGTACATCATAGAAACGGAGTATTTAACAGTATTCCCTGAAAACATGTCTTGACCATTTTTTAAATTTAAATTTACAATAGTCTCTCTGAAAGTGCTGTAACAAAGTTTAAAGACATGATCCTTGCACTGTTATCTTCAATAATACCATGTACTGACTCATGATGCGAGCAGCTACCTGAATCTTACTCCCTCAGAGGCAGATTATCTCGTTACCTATGTAACAGCCCAACTATGACTCAACAAATCAGAGAAACGTACAGTTTTGTATAAGTCACATCTGTCTTAAAGCAGGCCACTTTTAAACTAGACAGGAAATGGCATTTCACTAAATTAGAAGACCTTCTTCTGATCTGGAAAAAATACTTTGCTACTCTTTAAAAAGCCCTCAAAGATTAGACATCTGATAGAGGAAAACAGTTTCTGTTCAGCAGAGCAGCCAGGCTACCCTCTGCTGACCCAAGTATTCCTTTGACCTTAACTGCTAATGACTTCATGAATTTCTATACAAATAAAACTTTAACCATTAGGGGAAAATTCTTCTGGGTTCTGGGCTGGGATCAATACTATTGACAGCACATGCTTCCCTTAGACAATGTTAGTAGAAATAATTGCAAAAATTTTCATTGCTATGTTGATAAAACTCAGTTTTATTTATTCATGAAGGCAGGAGATACAAATCAATTACTGAATCTTCAGGTGTGCCTAATAGACACGTAAGCCTTGATGGTACTACCTTGGCTTCCAATAACACTGCAAGGAATATTTGATATATTCAGATATTCTTTCATATATCCTTCAGTGTGCATATTAAAGATATATATAGACTACCTACAATGACTGGACTCCTGTAAATTATTATTATCCGCTCGCTCAGAAGCTCCCTGAAAAGGTTTTCATTTGATCCAGATGTTATGGTTGGGCAGATGTGGGGTTTTCTTCTTGGTCTCTCTTTCTTTCTCTCTCTGCTTTGCCTCCCTATGTCCACTCTCGGTCAGTGCTGTCTTTCTTCTGCTCAAGTTTCCTGATCCATGCTTCACCAAGGAGTTCTACAGACATCATCTGAGCTTTAAAGACAGACAGAAGGACAAGGACTCATCTAACCTGCCTCCCCACTTTCCACCAACCCACTCACTTCTCCTAAGGCAGGGGTCGGCAACCTGCGGCTCCAGAGCCGCATGCGGCTCTTTAGTCCTTATACTGCGGCTCCGCGTGGTTTGGGAAAATAAATTAGTATTTAGCTGAAGTGTATTTTATTTGTGTTTAGTTCTTTTTTTTAACTTGTAGTTCTAAATTGGAAGATTATTGTGATATTGAAATCTAAAAATAAAATTATATTCTATTATTTTTTCATCGCTCAAAATAAGAGTCACACTCGCGGAAGCCGGTGTACCCGCCGAAACGCCGTGCATTTATCGAGACTTTCAACCCCAGGTAGGCCAATTATGGATCTTCGGATCCACATTATGTCAGCAGCTATTCTCCACCATGAACTATGTTA